TTGTGAATAAATGCTTCAACATATCTGTAGAGGGAAACTCTGCTATGCCATGGCATTACTTGGAAACTACATATAAATAAATGGAAACAATGGCATATGAATGAATGAAAGTAATCATGGGATGACTCTACCTGACTAGCTCGGGGGTGGAAGGTATGCTCCCTTTCTCCTAGAGTGTGGGATGGTAGGTGTGATGGGCTGACTCCCCTCATACCAGAGTTAATGAAAGAAAAGAAAACAATTTGGGAGTTAAACTTGTAAATGTCGTGGCATCCCAAGAAAGTTTGCTTAGAAAATTTTTAGGTTTGTTAAGCATGGACTGGATACAAACACGCACACACTCACACAAAGAATATTACTCTAGGGGACATTACTTGATTTCTCAAACTAGTCTAGCATGTTGAAGCCAAATAATGAGGGCTGAAATTTTATCCCATATAACTATTCTGCTTATGAACTTTCCATGTTATTTTTATTTTGCTTAATACTATCCATTTCTTGAGGACAATCAATAGCTTAAGTTTAGGGGTGTGATAACTCCATAAAAAGGTCATATTTGGGACCTTTTCACTTAAGTTATTGACTGTCTAAGAGCTCATTTAGGATCATATAGATGCATTTAGGAGTATATAGTTACATGTGGTGGAATTCTATTTGTCGTGGTATTTTATTTTATAATCAGTGCTACTTTATGGGGAAGGTGTTTGTTTAGTGATGTGTAGGATTTGGGAGCAAGGAAAAGAAAAAGGGAAATTTCGTGACATAAGGAGACTGCTTAGCAGAATTTAAATGCCAAGGCAGTTGGCATTTCGAGAGCGAACAAAACAAAAGAAGATATTTTTAGAGCCAGTTGTCCTTATCTTCACGTGATCTCTACCCGTTAGGAGATACTTGCCTAGGGGACCACAAGATACTGCAGCTGATCTTGTCGGACCACACCCTACTGCTGATAATCCTGCCAGACTGTGCCCTATTGCAGCTTGATATTGTCCGGTACTCAGCTAGCCACCCAGGCTGGACCACTGCCAGCTCTGCCCACCCTCACGTGAATGAAGTATAATTTGGGTATCCTAGGAATTTCAACACAAATTTCTAGGTTAATTCTCCCCCTATAAATAGAGGATAAAGCCACAATGGAAAGGAAACTTTACACACGCCGTAAAGAGCCAAAAATTCTGGAGGAAAAAGGTCTCTCATTTTTCCACCTATCATATTTTCCCTGGCATTCCTTCATGAAAAGCTAAAGGGAATGTCATTTTAGGCGTCTGAGAGGAGCTAGTTCGCTGGGATAGTCCATGGTAGCCGAGGGAAGTTCCGGTAGTACGCACCGAAGGCTTTTCCTCATTCTTTTTGCTCTTTGCTTTCATTATTTATCATTTGGGTTGTAAGGAACGAATTAACTTGCTTTGTGCTTGATATATTCGAACCCTACCATGAACTAATCCTATTTGGTGGGAGTTCATTCTGGATATTTAAGATTTCCTTTAATGAATGGTTGTTTTTTATGTTATTATCTGTTTTGTTTATGAAGCTTAGTGCTTTAAGGTTGTAGGAGCTATGAGAGTAGCCATTCCTTAGGAGATTACTTAGTGTTCGAGAGAATGACTAGGTAGCACATCCTTAGTGTTCGAGAGAAACTAAGGAGGAACCACATAAGCAAGGATTTCTAGATAGTAACTAGGCCTAATCCACCATAGAGATAAGGCTAGGATTTCATTCGAGTAAAAGAAGTTGTGCATGTACGATAGGTTAGATGTTAATGCTGCCACAAAAAGGTATTGCCAAGACATATCCTGTTATCTGGACCAATAGGATCATTGCAGGGGCTTACGCTAACCGGTTTGCCAATGTATCTTCAATCTGTCGAGTCCTTTTACTTGAGATAGCATAGGGCACCCTTAGTAAACTCTGTCGGGCAGATAAGGCATAGAAGTAAGATCATTCTGAGAAATAAACTTGAATTTTCCCAAGTGACTCCTATCACTCATTCCCATAGTAGTTTGTAGTGTGAGGAAGTTAAAGTCCTAGAAATTAAATCCAACATTTACAATTTATTTTTCCTTTACATTTTCATTTGTTTGCACTCAACACAATTTAATTTGCCAAGACATTTCCATCCCATTTGCCACCATATTATCATTATTCCATTTCCACACATCCATTTCATTTTGCCACAACAATCTTATATGTACATACCATCGCTAACTTTACTTAGATGACAAAGTAAAGTGCTTTGATTAAACTTATCAATTTCCTCCAATCCCTATGGATATGATTCTCGCTCATCACTATATTACTTGTTCGATTGTGTATACTTGCTTATATTTTCACAACCATATATAGTAATCACAACCAGCGGACACAGAAATGTCTTGAATCTTTGTTATGAGCTGAGATATGTGCCCCTTTTGACTAAGGAAATCATCTGCTTCTTGATGATTACCAACAATGTCACAAAGAAGTGTTAAAAGTTCCATCCTCCAGTCGTTTTGATCTCTTGGACTATTTTGCTTTCAAGATTGTGAAATGACTTCATTACTCTGGCATCGTTTGTTCTTCTTCTCTAATTGAGTAAAATGAGCTTCACCAGCTTCGAGGACCATTTTCACTTGAGATTGTCATGTTTGAAAATATTTTTCTTCATCTTTCAATTTTAGAAATGTGAAAAAAAGTTTGATGAATAAGTTTTAAAAATGCTACCATTTTCTTCAGGCTCACAATCAAAACAAATTGTAAAACAAGAGTACATTGAATACCAAATAAGCCAACTTCTCTTTTAATCCTTTAAAAATTATATACATTTTACATGTGTAAAGATTAATGTTGATATAAGGCTTAGGTTTACTTTGGAAGGTATAGTGTTTCAGGTTAATTTAGGGAGGTGATGTGTTTCAGGTTGGCTTCCTTGGTTGAAACCTTGCATCCTTGATGATGAAAACTAATCGTTATGTTCATCTTCTGGAAATATTCATCGATTTTCAACTCTCGATATTACTTTCAAGCGGTATGGCAATTTATCAAGAGATGTATAAGACCAGTTATTCTGCAACAGTTGTACAATCTTCATATTCGAGCTACCTTTTCAGGTTTTCAACTCGAATCCTCATTTGGTTTCAAAACGTTATTACGTCTTAAACCCCTTTATTATTTTTTCCTATCGTGCATTGAAGATTTTAAAAAACCATTTTTGTAAATAAAAATTAACCCTGAGGGGCAGAATGAAATTTAAAGATAGTCTCTCCACTTATAAATCCATGTATGGTTAGAAGGGACTTTTCAGGCATGTAACATAAGTCAGGTCTCACGGTTATGAAAGAAAGAGATAAATAGGCTCAATAAAGTGTTTTAGGGTGGTTGGACTAAGGATCAACTTATGCCGACCTCTTCAATCCTACTTTGTCTGACCTAAAACTCTTGTAACTCTTTTATTTTCTTTCCATTTCTAGATCCCTCTAGACTGCCCATTTTTTTATCCTAGAATTCATCTCCATCTTGTTATATCATTGCATTCTTGATCTTCTTGTTGAATATAGATCCTTGAAACAGTTATATTTGGCCAACCTTGTGGCTTAAGTCACTTATCTTAGAGTACTTGATATATGGTGTTAAAGGTCAATGCCCCTGGGTCAATCAAATTTTGGACCTTGCTCTTCGGTGTCCCAAAGATCTCAAAGGTATACCCCAAACTCCATATATGGTATTGACATCAAGTCTATGGCTTTCAACTCTTTTTTATGCATAAATGGAGTGGCTTCAACTTATCTTCAAAAACATAAATCACATGACTCTTCATTAGTTACTCCAAGTTCCAGAATCATTGCATGTTGAGATGTTTGAATATCATACAATATATGGTGTATAGATATGTATACATAAATACAAATGTGAATGCCAATGCAAAGATGAGAATGCAAATGCAAAGATGCGAACAAAAATGTAAAGATGAAAAGATGTGAACATAAATATAAAGATGTGAATGTGAATGTAAATGTAAATGTAAATGTAAAGATACAAAGATGAGAGTCCAAATGCAAATGTCAAATGTGTTAATCTCATTGATAAATATCATAGAATAATTTTTATCATAGTTAAAAGTCTTCATGCTACAAGATAGCCCATTTGATAGACATACTTTTGCTTGAATGATTGGTCTGGATTGGCTCGGTACTTCATCTCGGAGCTTCATCCTTGAAATTATGCCCTCGAGCGTTATATCACTTGTCTCGGTTGATGCCTCTTCGATGTTGGAGTCATGCGTCACTCTTTGTTGATTAAATGTGGAAATGTCGTAGATAAGAATCCATTATTGCATTGTTTCTTGGATCAAGAGATCATCTTTCGAGTCTCACACATTGTCCTATCAGTCAACTTTGTTACGTAATCTTCAAGCAAGCTTTCTCATTCTCTAACTTCCCATAGCCATTAGTGTATGTTTGTGTATGCAGATACTTGATTGAAAACTTTTATCTCTATTTATGAAAAATTTTCCAATTAGAGATTCATCTGCGGATCAACACCTTCATGTTATGCTTTGATGATTATGCAATTCAAAAAGATGAAAATGACATAAAAATCAGGAAAAAGTGAGTTAGTATGTAACATCCTCAATACCGGGTTAGTGACTAAATTGTCAAACTTCAGAATTCAGTGATTAAAGTAGAATAATTGAATAGTTCAAGGAACTATTTGGAAATATTTTATGAAGGATTGTTAGTAATTATTAAATGAATTAAAGGGAAAAATGGTCATTTGACAAGAAATATTTTTATTTCCTTTTATAAGATAAGGAAACCACGTGGGAATAGGGAAAAGGAAGTTCCAGAGTTCTATTCTTCTCATTTCGTCCTTCATACGAGAGAGAGACAGAGCAAAGGTGAGTTTCCTTATTAGTTGATTATTTGTTGATTTTAAAGTTGGGTTATAATCTTTAGGTGATAGTTAAGCTTAAGGAAAGCTTAAGTTGTCTTATAATCAAAAGATGAAGAAGTTATGAGAAATTAAAGAGAAGAGGCTTTTAAATGAATTTCTGATTAAGAGTCAATCAATAAAGTTTGAGTTCGGAATTGACTTATCATCAACTTAATTAAGAGATATGAAGTGATAGAATTATATTTAGAACATATTGAAAAATTGGTATGATTATTGATTTTTATATGGAGAAAGGAATTTTGAGGTTTAAGATGTGATAAATGAGTATAAATTGGTTTAAGCATATGTATGTGAGTTAAGAATATAAAATGGGAAGAAACATGAAGTGTTGAAGATGAAAAGAGTGAATTTTCGTGTTGAAAATGTGATTTCTGGACAAAGTGTATTGGTACACATTCAATAGGTACCGATACACTCTTAAACGAAAAATCATCGAATGTAATAAGTGTATCGATACATAGGCAGTGTATCGATACCCCCTTAAAATGAAAACTTCAAATGTAATTTGTGCACCGATACATAGGTAGTGTATCGATACACACGTTAAGGGATGTACCGATACACTATAGAGTGTACCGATACTTACCTTAAATAAGAAATGAAAGTAGCCTTTTCTTTAGTCTAAGAAACGAAAGATTAAAGTATATCAATTAGAAGACTAATATGGATCCATGTATAATTATGTATATATTGAACATAATTTCGTTCCGGAACAATCGAAGAATTAGGATCGATTCAAAGTAAACAAGGCTAAGGTGAGTGCATAATATAGGTACAATTTAATGGAAATAAGACTTGTGATAAGTCTATTTCCTAGATTAAGTTCACAGTATAATGGTTATGAACAAGCATACATTATAGTCTTTATTAAATATACATAAGTTATATATGTTGACATATGATTCGATACATGTTATATGACTCATGTAAATGTATTCCAAATACTTATGTTATAGAATATGATATGGTTGATTATATGCACATGAGAAATGTGATAGAAGAAAAGATATATGTGATTACAAAGAAAATGATATAAGTACATGTTTATATGAAGTATAATATTAATCCCCATGTGATGTAATATGAGAGCTCTAGGTATAATTGTCATGCCAAGAGTCGAGGGTTTCATAGGTCCTTTGGGATATATTCACAGGTCTTTATGGAAAACTTTCATATACCACTTAGTGGGACTTATACTAGTTATGGTGACAGCAGATGTGCACAACCTCTTTGTACTCGAATACCTTAAGTTCTCAGTATATACATGGGCCTATAAAGAATCTGAAAAGTGTGTGTATTGCATTATATGTTATTTTATTAGTATTGGGTACAATGAATCATATGAAATGAGATAGAATTCTGAATAATAGTGATTATTTTGTCTAAATAGTATGTTGTATGTTCATATTCATACGAAATACATTATTATAAGTTTATACTTCACTAAGTCTATGACTTAGCGTGTAAGTGATTTACACGTAGGTATAGAAAAGCAAGAAGACCAGTCTTAGAAGCAGCAGAGTAGCATATCACAACTTGAAAATCAGATCAGAAACACCTTACACAGTATGTCTGTTTATGTAATATATGTGTTGGCATGTAAATAGAGTCGTATAGTATACATGCTCTGATCAATTTTGTAATGTTTTGAACCTAATGATGTAAATATAGTTTTTGTGTTAATAAAAGTTTAAATTTACTACAGTTTTTATAAATGTACGTGCTTTGAAAAGTCAATGTGACACCTCATATTCGTATCCGAGTCGGGTACAGGTTGGGGTGTTACATTTAATGGTATCAGAGCTACGGTTTAGTCGATTCTCGGCATAAATCGAAGTCTATAGTATCTTAAATAATATACATGCCAATATAGATAGTAGTAAGAACTTCTGATCTGATAAGAGTAATGAGTATGCTGCTTAGCTAATAAAGATATTTGGTTATATTTGATTAGATGTCTGGATAAGATAGCTCCTGAAGTGAAGCGAAAGATGAGAGGCTAGCCGAAAGTAGTAATTCACCTGCCCTTTCCAGGCAAAGTGAAGAACAAGCACCATCTGGAGTGCCTGTTCAAGATCAAGACGTCTTCTTCAGGACGTTGGATGCAATCTTGAGGCATTTTCAGCCTCCTACCTCCTCAAAGCAGAGGATGAATGTTGCAAAAGGGCTGAAGGGATTAGGAGCTCCTGAGTTCAAAGGTAAAGCTGAGGAAGGTCCTGTTGCTGCGAACCTTTGGCTCAACGATGTGAAGATCATGTTAGAAGGACTCCATTGTTCTGATGTGGAAAAGCTAGACGGAGTGGTCTCCTTACTTTATGGGCAAACAAGAATTTGGTTGACAAATGTAACTTTGAGGATGACCAGTGATCAGGTGACATGGTCTCTGTTCCTTGAAGAGTTTAGGCACAAGTATATAGGAGACCAATTTATCAAGCAAATGAAGCAAGAATTCCTGAATTTGAAGCAAATGAAAAGCACGGTGCATGTGTATGAGTGTTAGTTTAACAAATTTAGTCGTTTTGCGGCTGAATTAGTGCCTACAGAGAAAAATGTCTGCGAATGGTTCGTGGAGGGCTTACGCCTGAGGTTGAAGGAGATGTTGATTGTACTGAATTTTTTCTCGTTCCAAGAAGTAGTAAACCGTGCTAAAGCTCTAGAGAGAGCTCAGAATAAACAGTTTGGGGAACAAAGATCTCAACCATCCAAAAGAACTAGAGCTTCATCAAGTTCTGCACTACCTAAGAGAGGTAGAGATTATGGCTTTCGATATCAAGAAAGATCCGAATCGATGGTATCCTCTGCTAGAGGATCAAATCATGCAAGATCTAGAAAGACTCAATCTGTAGGGTCTGGTGATGGGCGAGAACAACAGAGTCAAGTTGGACAGTGTCAGATTTGTGGAAGAAATCATAACGAGATATGCAGAGTTAAAACTGGAGCTTGTTTCCGATATGGGGAAACAGGGCATTTCATGAGAGATTATTCTTTGAGGGCTAGAGAGTCTGCTCAACCGGAAAGAACTGCTTCAATGTCTCAGAGGGGACGAGGTAGAGGTAGATGAAGAAATCTGACAGAATCTTCTACTCAACAGGAGGTACTACTCCATTGCTCGAGTGTATAACCTCAAAACCAATGAAGACCGAGATGATCCAGAAATAATAACAGGTACCTTTTTACTGTTGGATAAATGTGTTATGGTATTGATTAATTTGGGGTCTACCTATTCATACATTAATAGTAAGTTAGTGAAAGAATTGAACATTCCGTTAGAAGACACTAGTAATGAGGTTATAGTTACGAATCCATTAGGGCACAGTGCTCGAGTTAATAGAAGGTGTAGAGGGTGTCCCATACGGATTCAGGGAATTGAATTCCCTGCTAATCTGATGGAATTATCCTTTGACGAATTTAAAGTGATACTGGGAATGGATTGGTTATATAATTATCATGTGAATGTTGATTGTAGATTAAAGAGGGTAATGTTATTCAACTTAGATGGATTGGAAGTGATAGTGTTCAGTGAAAGATGAAATTCATTGACAAATGTTATCTAGGTGATGTCAGCAAAGAAGCTATTACTACAAGGATGTTAGGGTTTCATGGCTAATGTATTGGATACTAGAACCAATGAGAAAGGGTTAGAAGCAATTCCAATAGTTAGAGAGTTCCTTGATATTTTTCCAGCAGAATTACCGGGATTACCTCCAGATAGAGAAGTGGAATTTCATATTGAAATAATGTCGGGAACTGCACCTATTGTCATGAAACTATATAGAATGGCTCCAAAAGAGTTACAAGAATTAAAGATACAGTTACATGAGTTGTTGGATAAAAGATTTATAAGACTAAGTGTCTCTCCATAGGGAGCTCCAGTATTGTTTGTCAAAAAGAATGATGGGTCAATACGTCTCTGCATCGACTACAGATAACTTAATAAAGCAACCATTAAGAATAAGTATTCTCTCCCTAGGATCAACGATTTATTTGATTAGTTGAAGGGAGCTTCGGTCTTCTCTAAGATTGACTTACGATTGAGATATCATCAATTGAAAGTTCAGGAGAAAGATATCCTAAAAAACGCATTTAGAATGAGGTATGGCCACTACGAGTTCATTGTGATGCCCTTCAGACTTACAATGCACCAGTTGCTTTCATGGACCAGATGAATCGAATATTTTAAACTTATTTAAACCAATTTGTAGTAGTATTCATCGATGATATATTGGTATATTCAAAAACAAAAGAAGATCATAGTGCACACTTGAGAATAGTTTTGCAGATTCTAAGAGACAATAAGTTATATACCAAGCTATCCAAATGTGAGTTCTGGTTGAATGAAGTAATATTCCTCGGACATGTGATTTCTGCGGAAGGAATTTGAGTAGATCCTCAAAAGGTAAAAGCTATTCTTGAATGGGAGGTTCCCAAGAATATATCTGAAGTTCGAAGCTTTTTGGGACTTGTCGGATATTATCGAATGTTCGTTAAGAACTTTTCAATGATCGCTTTACCTTTGACTAAGTTGATGAGAAAATGTGTGACATTTGTGTGGACTCCTGAATGTCAATAAAGTTTTGATATGTTGAAAAAGATTTTGACAGAAGTTCCAGTATTAGTTCAACCGGAGTATGGTAAGAACTATGTGGTCTATAATGATGCGTCACATAATGGTTTGGGATGTGTATTGATGCAAGAGGGCAAGGTGGTGGCTTATGCATCAAGACAATTGAAAGCACATATGAAAAATTATCCGACACACGATCTTGAGATGGATGCAATTGTATTCATTCTTAAAATCTGGCGTCATTACTTATATGGTGAACGATGTTACTTGTATACATATCCTAAGAGTTTAAAGTATCTGATGACTCAGAAGGAGTTGAATTAAAGACAAAGGAGGTGTGTAGAATTTCTGAAATACTATGATGTTGTAATAGATTTTCTTCTTGGAAAAGCAAATGTGGTAGCGGATGCTTTAAGCCGAAAGACGTTTGTAGCCTTACGAACCCTGGATGCTAGGTTGTCATTGAATAATGATGATGTTTTATGTGCGGAATTAACCCTTCGGCCATCGTGGATAGACAGAGTCAAGGAATTGTAAGCTAGAGATGAAAAGTGTTTAAAAAAGTTACTGCAAGTACAGAATGGAGAGCTTACTGATTATGAGATTAAAGTAGATGGGAATCTATACTTTCGAGGGAGATTAGTAATTTCAGATAATGATGAGTTGAAGAAGGATTTGTTAATAGAAGCTCACTGTAGTCCATTAACGATGCATCCAGGAGGAAACAAAATGTATATGGATCTCAAAAGTCGATATTAGTGGGCTGGAATGAAAAAGGACATTACAGAATTTTTATCTAAGTTTTTGACTTGTCAACAAGTCAAAGTTGAGCATCAAGTTTCATCAGGGTTGTTACAACCAATTTTGATTCTTCAGTAGAAATGGGAGAATGTAACGATGGATTTTGTAACTGGGTTGCCTTTGACTCCGAACAAAAGAGATTCAATCTGGGTGATTGTAGACAAATTGACTAAGTCAGCTCATTTTATTCCGGTGCGAACCGATTTCTCTATGGATAAATATGTTGAGCTTTATATTAGAGAAATTATACGACTACATGGTGTACCTATTTCCATTGTTTCTGATCGAGATCCTAGATTCACATCACGATTTTGGAAGTCTTTACATGGAGCGTTAGGAACTCAATTAAATTTTAGCATAACGTTTCATCCTCAGACTGATAGACAATATGAACGGACTATCCAAATCCTAAAGGAAATGTTGAGAGCCTATGTGATTGAATTCAAAGGATCATGAAAAAGATATTTGCCACTTGCCGAATTTGCCTACAACAATAGTTACCAGTCAAGTATCAAAATGGCACCTTATGAGGCTTTACACGGGAAGAAGTGTCGTATGCCATTGAGCTGGTATGAGTTCAAAGATAGAGACATCCTAGGTCATGAGTTGATTAAGGAAATTAAAGGAATGGTACAAGTAATTCAAAGTAATCACAAAACTGCAACAGATAGACAAAAATCATATGCAGATCTGAAGAGGAAAGAAATTGAATTTCAAGCTGGTGATAAAGTATTTTTAAAGATGTCTCCATGGAAGAATGTATTAAGATTTGGTCGAAAAGTTAAGTCCTCGATTTATTGGACCATACGAGATTGCGAAAAGAGTGGGACCAGTGGCATATCAATTAGCTTTACCACCGAAAATGGAAAAGATACACAATGTCTTCCATGTTTCTATGCTTTGGAAGTATAGATCTGATCTCTCCTATATCGTAACACCAGAAGAGATTGAGGTTTAATCGAATTTGATTTATGAGGAAGAACCGGTTCAATTCTTAGCTCACAAGGATAAGCAACTAAGGAACAAAACTATTTCATTGGTCAAAGTCTTGTGGAGGAATCACAAAGTAGAGGAGGTAATGTGAAAGTGTGAAGAGGACATGAGGAATCAATACCCCCATCTGTTTGCCCATTGAAAATTTGAGGACGGATTTTCTTAAAGGGGAAATTTGTAATATCCTCAATACCGAGTTAGTGACTAAATTGTAAAACTTCATAATTTAGTGATTAGAGTAAAATAATTGAATAGTTCAAGGACTTATTTGGAAATATTTTATGAAAGATTGTTAGTAATTATAAAATGAATTAAAGGACAAAATGGTCATTTGACAAGAAAGATTTTTATTTCCTTTTATAAGATAAGGAAACCACGTGGGAAGAGGGAAAAGAGAGTTCCGGAGTTCTCTTCTTCTCTTTTCTTCCTTCATACGAGAGAGAGACAGAGCAAAGGTGAGTTTCCTTGTTAGTTGTCTTATAATCAAAAGATGAAGAAGTTATGAGAGATTAAAAAGAAGAGTCTTTAAATGAATTTCTGATTAAGAGTCAATAAATAAAGTTTGAGTTAGGAATTGACTTGTCATCAACTTAATTAAGAGATATAAAGTGATAGAATTGGATTTAGAACATATTGAAAAATTGGTATGATTATTGATTTTTATATGGAGAAAGGAATTTTGAGGTTTAAGATGTGATAAATGAGTATAAATTGGTTTAAGCATATGTATGTGAGTTAAGAATGTAAAAGGGGAAGAAATATGAAGTGTTGAAGATGAAAAGAGTAAATTTTCATGCTGAAAATGTGATTTCTGGAAAAAGTTTATCGGTACATATTCAATAGGTACCGATACACAATTGAACGAAAAATCATCGAATGCAATAAGTGTATCGATACATAGGTTGTGTATCAATACCCCCATAAAAATGAAAACTTTGAATGTAATTTGCGTACCGATACATAGGTAGTGTATCGATACACATGTTAAGGGATGTACCGATATATTATAGAGTGTACCGAAACTTACCTTAAATAAGAAATAAAAGTAGCCTTTTCTTTAGTTTAAGAAACGGAATATTAGAGTCTATCAATTAGAAGATTGATATGGATCCATGTATAATTATGTAGTTACTGAACGTAATTCCATTCCGGAACAATCGAAGAATTAGGATCGATTTAAAGCAAGCAAAGCTAAGGTGAGTGCATAATATAGGTACAATTTAATGGAAATAAGACTTGTGATAAGTCTATTTCCTAGATTAATTTCATAGTCTAATAGTTATGAGCATGCATACATTATAGTCTTTATTAAATATGCATAAGTTATATATGTTGACATATGATTCGATACATGTTATATGACTCATGTAAATGTATTCCAAATACTTATGTTATAGAATATGAGATGGTTGATTATATGCACATGAGAAATGTGATAGAAGAAAAGATATATGTGATTACAAAGGAAATAACATAACTACATGTTTATATGAAGTATAATATTAATGCTCATGTGATGTAATATGAGAGCTCTAGGTATAAATGGCATGCCAAGAGTCGATGATTTCATAGGTCCTTCGGGACATATTCACAGGTCTATAGGGATAAATTTCATATGCCACTCAGAGGGACTTATACGAGCTGTGGTGACAGCAGATGTGCACAACCTCCATGTACTCGAATACCTTAAGTTCTCAATATATACATGGGCCTTTAAAGAATCTGAAAAGTGTATGTATTGCATTATATGTTATTGTATTAGTATTGGGTACAATGAATCATATGAAATGAGATGGAATTCTGAATAATAGTGATTATTTTATCTAAATAGTATGTTACATGTTCATATTCATACGAAATACATTATTATAAGTTTATGCCTCATTAAATCTATGACTTAGCGTGTAAGTGATTTACATGTAAGTATAGAAAAGCAAGAAGACCAGTCTTAGAAACAACAGAGCAATATATCACAACTTGAAAATCAAATTAGAAGCACCTTACACAGTATGTTTGTTTATGTAATATATGTGTTGGCATATAAATAGAGTCGTATAGTATACATGCTCTGATCAATTTTGTAATGTTTTGAACCTAATGATGTAAATATAGTTTTTTTGTTAATAAAAGTTTAAATTTACTATGGTTTTTATAAATGTACATGCTTTGAAAAGTCAATGTGACACCTTAGATTCGTATCTGGGTCGGATACGGGTTGGGGGTATTACATAGTAAATGTAAAATAACCAATAAAAGATGATGTTTAAAGATAAGTTTAATACCTATCTAATCATGGTATATATCCGAGCATGCTTTTATTAAATAAGAATCCTACCCAGAAATGTTTTCTACCTGACATGATTTATTTCAGGAATTAAATCCTAATCGCATGGTATCTAGTTCGCATGCTTTATTCGAAAACAATTTTATTCTAAGGATTTAAAGCAAAAACTAAAGGTTCATAGTCGTTCCTCCATTGAGAACACCTATTTTGGTACCTACCGATGGACAAAGGTTCGATGTGGCTCTATCTAGGGTGACCAATCTAGGGTTCATTATATGCATGGTTTCGGCTCTATGGGGAAAGAGTTCTCGAATTGTCCTTTATGTCGATGCCCCTTTGGGATACCAAACCCTCCATCCTCATCCATTATAGACTTAAACGGATTGAGTTCAATTCGAGGAAACGCATTTCTTATGTCTATATGGAGGGCTGCTCACGAAGATCATAAGGGCATGCACCCGAGTGTGATTCACTAGCCTGTGTGGAGCCTGCTCACGAAGGGCACTAGCGATTCACTCCCACTTAATGGGACAAAGCTCAGGTATAGAGCTTATGACATGCACATGCACGTGTTGTGTGTGAAGAAGAACTCACAAACCTTTCGACAAAAAAAATCGAGACTCATTTTCGAAAACCTTAACAAGTCTGAAAGCAATGAGATCAAACATCAGTACAACTACTTACAAGAGTAAACACTGATGCATGATTATGAAAATCAAAATTAAAAGGATCATAATTCAAGTAAAGGTTCAAATTTATAAAATTCTAATTACTCAAACAACGTATAATCAAGTCAAACCTGACTCTCAAAATCTCCCCAGCGGATTCACCAAGCTGTCGTCATCGTTTTTCGCCTGGTAAGTAAAAAATATATGTACGGCATGAATTTCGAGGAATTTCAGGTTTTTTTAAATCGAATTAATTCAGAAAAGATTAAAGTCGTCATCGACCTTTTGGTTAGGTAAGTTGAATACCCAAAATACGTTTTGTAAACGAATTTTTGAAAAATCATTTAAAGATGAAAATTTGTCTGCGTTTAACCAAAAATTCATTTTTAAGGATTCAGGAGTCGATTACATGTGGGGAAGGGTAAGCACCCCCACAGATCCCAAGATTGATACCTCTCGATTATCGTTGTCAAAAACGATGAAATTTTACAAATTTGAACTCGAAATTTAAATTACGATCCATTTTATTTTTATGATTTTTTGGAATGAGTGAATTTATTTTTTAAAATATTTGATTCGATGAAAGATTCAATTCACTCGATTTTATTTAAAAATGATGTCCTTTTGCTACGTGAATTAACAGGAATTAAAATCCAGTTATGTTGGACGTAATTTCGTTAACTCATGATGCAAGGCAACATTACATTGGAGTCTTATGGAAAATGAGTAATCAAATGCATGATTTATGAGTGCAATAGTAATAAATGTAATGTTCAAAATAGATGAAATATCCACGTAACATGACAAATTAATAATAAATGATAAAATATAATTTTTATTCGAATAGCCCTTGGAAGGGGCACTCCAGGTCTTGGGAGGTCTTTCATAAGTTAATCGAATAATCAAATATTTTAAAGCTTTTCAAAATATCGAATAGATTGCCTTGTTAAAAATATATCATGTAGACATTCAAATATATAAAAAAATCATCTTTAATAAAATATATTCATATTTTATAAAAACAAATACAATATATAAATATATTATTAAAATAAATAAATATAAGCTTAACACATAAATAAAAAAATGTGTTCTTTATATTTATATATACATATGTATACGTAAGGATTAACAATATATAAAATTAAGTTAACAAAGGTACAAACATACATATAAAATAACACAAAGACTAAATTTAAAATACTAAAAATACAAGAAAAATATCGAATTATGCATCCATATTATTCTATACTAAAGCAGTGGTTAAAACAAACACAAACAAAACTAGAAGATCTTAATATATAAATATAACAATTTTGAGCAATACTACAAATAAGGACTAAAATATAACAATGTTAAATCAATGAATTAAACTAGCCATTTAACCAAATGATATTGATAAAGCATATGGTGACGAAAATATAAAAATGACAAAACTCGAAGTTAAAACTCAGAAATTACCCATATTTCATTTAAAGACTGAAATGGAAGCTTACAAAACTCGGATGGCCTGAAACGCGATTTACCCCACGCGCTGAAAAGGGTTGCCCTACCTTGCATTAAATGGCATCATTTTACGGTAGCATGGAGGGAACCAAAATAGTGTCGTTTTGATGGGCCTATAAATAGGCTCCTTTATTTTTTTTCATTTTTTACATATTCTCTTCTCTCTCTCTCTACCCTGGTTTTTCTCTCCCTTCTCTCTAAACTGGGAGTGCCCGATGGTGGCGGCGTCTATCACCGGCCACCGCGTCGACCACTGACCACCAAATTTCACCGGGTGGCTTGTCTCATTTGCCATGAAAAGGGTCGAGAACTCCTCAGCTTCTCGGGCTTCTATCTCCACCGTCTGTCATTGGATCGAGCCGCGACTGAGATATGATGTTCCAAGGGTTGCTCCAAACCTTCTCACCGTTCGGATTGACTGACGAAGACTCCTACCATCGACGAGAGGATTCGGTAGAATGATAAGCTTCTCATCTTTTCGATTCTCTCTTTTTTGTTTTTTTGGTTTTCTGTATTTTTTCCATAATCTGCTCGCCTTTTTTTCTCCTTCCTTTTTCTTCTTCTCTTTGTTGTGTAGTTGTTGCATGCTATAAAAATGGCCAAGGTTGCTTGAGTGTTTGGTGAGGGTTCAACAGAGGAGTATGGCTATGGCATAGGGTGTCCGGTTGGTGAAGAAAAATGGATTATGTGTGATTTGTTTTTTTTATTAGATTTGATTTCTTATTTTTTTTATTGGATTTGGTTTAATCTGTTGAGATTTGGAACAGGGGATTTGTTGAGGTGGCCGATGATAGTAACAACGGTGGCGATAGTGGAGGCAGAGGAGAGGCAATGTTGGTAGTTAGGGTTTTCGTGTTTGGGTCGATTTAGGGTTGATTTAGGTTAAAGAGTAAATGGATTGGTTGGGTTTGTAATTTGGTTTAAGCTAAGGTTGTTGGGTTTGTAATTGGGCCGGCTTATGTAATTATATATATATATATATATATAGCACGAAAAATATGGTGATTACACTAAGATTGAATGGAAGAGATTTTTTGCGTAGATTCATGGATTATATTAGTTGAACTGTGAATTTTGGATTTTTCAATTAAAAACTTTTTAAAACTAAATTAGATTTTGTAATTGATTTTCTCTCACTAGAAGAGTTTATGCAAATTATTACTTGGTCTCCGGAACAATTATGTAGATAGCCAGGCAGCTTTGCTATGCACACACCAGGATCCCCAATGGACCGGCCCAGCATGTCATAAGCAGTTAATTAATCCCTACTCCAACTAATCCGATTTCACTACTAACAATGACCTTATTGGATCTGGTGGGGAAAAAGCGACTTAATTCCAAAGCATCGGTTGTTTACAAGTTTTGACCATTTTACAAGTAAACCAAATGAAATCGAGATGGACACCATAGCTAAAAACTATTGTGATCTTACCAATCAACACAAATCCGGGGTAGCCTTACTGACTATCGGGATTATGTTTAAAAGAACCACCGGATCCAAAAAGGTTTGGATACAAGTATTCATCATTCATCGAGGTCCATCTCTGCGGCTGCTTTTGTTCTATAGCATCATCTCTTGAAACCGGTGAATCCAAACCTACTTTTAATTTGCTCAATGTAGAAAGATTTGCGGCTTCTGATCCTTTGTCTGGAGAATATAAACCATCATCGTGATGGCTAAAGGAGTTTAGATGATCAAAATTCGGGTTTTCATTGCTAGCTGGCTGATGAGGAACATTTTTATGAAGGTGGTTCTCAGAGTTGTCCTCACTCACTTGGTCATTCTTTTTCTGCTTTAGTTCAGCAATTCTGATGTGTGCAAGACTAGCTGCTGCGCGAGCTGCAGCTGCTGCACGCTCAGCACTTTCAGCAGCTGACCGAGCAGCAGCTAAAACATCCTCTAGATCGAAGTTGGTCTCACTTTCTGGTTTCAAAATGGCAGGTGTCGGATTGCTTGGTCTTGCAGGAATTGATGAAGCAGATACAGATGGAGGAGAAATGAAAGGCAGAAACTGTTTATTTTCTTTGGATGCAGCTGGATCATCGGGCATTTCACTTTCTTTAGTTGTATTTTCTGGCATCAATATATCGGGCTCCAAAGGGAGCATTTGTAACACATGACCAGAAGCTCTAGAATGTCTATGTGAATGATCAATGTCGAGTTCAGGAGCAGCTGAAGAAGGTGGGTTAGTTACCGGTGCTGATGCAGCATTAGTGTTTGGCTGCAGTGACACATTTGGAACTTCAGGAAATTCCACCAGGTCAAAGTCCGAATCAGAATCAGGCTGCTTGGTTTGGGCATGATCAGTGGCAGGCGTCGATGTTTCACCATGCTTCTCCACCGGAATGGAAAACTTGGATTCAGTCACAAACTGTGTTGGGCCATTCTGATAAACAAAGTAGGCATTGATGAAATGGGAACAGAGAAGAAGAAAACCCAGTCCAAATTTTACTTACCAATAAATCTTCACGTGGTTTGAAAAACTCAGACTCGGTAGAAGTTGGATCCCACTCCAACTCATGTTCTTCAGCAATTTCTTTCAAAATATTCAATTTTACTTCAGGTGAAGGAGCACGTATAGATAACAATTCTATCAACTGCATTTAGGAGGATGTCAACTGGAAGAATAAAAATACAAAAATGAAAATACACTATGAACCTTCAAACTTCTAATACCTGACGATTAACACCACAATCCGGCCTCAGCTCAGTTGCAGCTAATACAAATTCCTTCCCGTACTTGGAAATAAATAGCATTTGAACCTGCATCAACTCCGTCAGATCGGCACATCTTGGTGCAGCAAAGCAAACGCTACTTATTGCTTCCTTCAAATCTAGCGGACATTCCCTGCAAAAGGATGATTCTTCAACTTATCATTCTACGAAATGCAGTGTGTTTTTAAATTATTTATTTAGTTTGAGCAACATAAAAAACTTATCAACTTCCTCTGTGAGGATATAAGAGATCCAGATTAAACAAAAATACAGCATTGTACAAAAATGTCATTCATCCAACAGAGTCATCTAAAAAAATGTGGAGCGATTAACAGAATTGCATTGACAGGAGGGAAATGCATTTAGTGAAGAACATCATGAGTACCCTTCTGCAATATTTAGGTGATATGTTCTGTTTATAACCTAGGCAAAGATTGACCTACCTCCAAAAAGGTGCTAATGCTTCATGTATGAAATTAAGAAGGCATCTAATATGGGCACCAGGGTTTCAAATCAAGGTCCGAAAACGTGATAGCGCCCGCGAAATAGCGGTTTCGCCGCCATCCGAGTTACCCGCTAGCGCCCACGACGGCCACAATCACGGTAAACCCGAAATGACTAAAAACGCGACCGCAACCGTGATTTGAAACCTTGATGGGCACAGCAATGCATAGGATAAAGGTATCATGAGAAGTATACTATTATATAGAAATACTAAACACTCGATGAAACCATATAGAAGATGACATTACATCAGTTCATCAACTCCTACAAAATGAAACCATATCAAACATAAAGATATAATCTTCAATCTAAAGAATTAGGTCAAACTACTTTTCCACTCAACTACCAAAGCCTTTCTACAAATATTAGGCCCCATCCTTCAACCTAAAGCTGATATCCTACATTGCAAAATTCATCCTACCAAACTGGTTCAGACCCCAAGCAACTGAGTCAAATTCAATATTATTAATAAATAAAAAGATAAGATTCCAAAAGGTTCAAGCAATAACCTTTGAATCTCTATGATAGGAAGACGGACAGCAATAAGCTCGCAAAACAGCTCAAGGATCTCCTGAGCAGCCATCATATTTTCTTCCCTTATTATATGCTCCACCTGAAATATAAACCTCAAGCATTGCTTCATATGAAACTATCAACACATTTTCAAGGCAGCACTCAAATAAATTGCAATTAACAGCTAATTCAGAATGTACCAAAAAAATTAAATCACTTCACTAAATAATAAAAACATCATATTTAGATTATCAACTACAGATATATGCACTTCGGTAAATAATAAATTTAAAATAAACATATATTTAAAGAAATCTGATTAATGAAGAAGAAATAACATACTCGAATTCGAGCAGTAGCTTCTTGGCCAGTTTCAAGAAGCTTAGCAATTTCGCGGCGCATCTGCTTTATCTGAATCTCTCTCCTGTTCCTCAATAACTTTATCCGCGGAATTGTCAACTTCAGTAAAGTTTTGCTACATATTCCACCCAAACAAAAGGGTTCAAAATTGAAAAAAAAATTAAGCTAAATATTCAAAATTGATCGGACTAATAATCATGAAAAGGTAAAAAGAAATAATTCATCAAGCAAGATTAAGCCGAAAAATCGATGAATTGAAGATTAAAGGTAGACATGAATATGAGTATAATAAGAAATGAAACCGAGGGGGGAAATACCATTTAGTAGCTTTGAAGCCTTTGTTGAAGAAGGAATCGAGCATAGCCATGATGGTAAGACGAGATCACAGAAATAAAAAAGAAAGAAAAATAAAAAAGGACGGTTTAAAGGGTTTGGTATATATGACTGACAGCTGCTAGAAGAGGAAATTAATTATTATTAAAAATTAATTAAAATAATATATTTCAATTTCATCTATTTTAATTTGTAGTTCCAATATAATTTTAATGGATAAACAGTATTAGGTGCTACAATTGGATTAAAAGAGGAAAATAGATTTATAATTATTTGTCGTTTACGAGTATAAGATGCGTGGTCTCGTCGACGTCGTTGCAATTTGCAAAGCAGGTACCAAGTCATTTTAATAAATAAATAAAGGGTAAACTATATCATAAATTACTCAATTATAATCTCTTTTCATTTTGATTATTATTTTTAAATTTTTATCAATCAGGTCATTTAATTATTTAAATACATTCAATTATATCCTTAGCCGTTAATAATTAACGGAAGTAATGATATAATAGTTAATAAATTGATATAATTACGCATTTAATCTTCAATACTTATATATCTTATTAATTTAGATATGATTTTAATTTAATTCATTAAATTTAATTCTCTAATTATAGACTAATCACGACATCATTGGATTACTTTTCCTTATTTTAATATATATATTAAAGAAATTTTCCTCCAATCATATGATGGAAAGAAAAACAAATTGAATTAAAAGAAGCCGCTGGGGAGAATCGAACCAAGGCCACCAGGGAGTAAAACACACCCGTCCACCGCTGCACCGGTCAGAAGTCTGCATTTCGCGTCAGGATCGGAGATAACAATCTCTAATAGATATCGATGGGTTGGATTTTTAATTTTTTAAAATCATTCGAAATCTCATTATATTATCGAATTATTACTTTCTTGTGTGCTCATACTGAATTATTATTATTTACCAATGATTGTTAATTTAATACTATTATTATATAGTCAGAAATATTATAATTTGAAGTTTATATTTGTTTATGATTCAAAGATATTAAAAACTTCAATAGTTTTCAATTTATCTATTTTTTTTATATTTTTTCAAGGAGAACATTAATTTTAGATTAATGGTCAATCCTCAACTTCTTTTCCCAACACAAAGTCATCATAAGTTACAAAAGATTTGGGCATTCAAATCCAACTAATTAGTATTAAGAGTATGTTGTAGTTGGAGAAGAAGAAGAAGAACGAGAATGGAGGAATGAGAGTTAGGGATTGTGGAGAGTAATTTAGGAATTGAAATGAGAAAAGGAATTGAAGCACGAGGGGAAAAAGGGTTAGACTTACCTGATAGGTTGAAGCAGACCGAAGGCATCCGGGGCAATATGGAGCGGCCCAACCAAGATGGCCCGGTACCTGTAACAGCCAAAGAAGGATAAGAAGCATTTTGTTAGGCAGCCTGTTAGCATAGAATGCCAGCTGGCATTGTTAGATTCTTCGTACTAGCTTGTAACTAAATAATACATGTTGTGTAATCAACATTTTCCTTATGCAATGAATGAAGAATTTTCTTATCTCTCAACTCTCTTCTAAATTCATTTCTCGAATCTCTTCTTTTCCTTTCAATCTATAACAATTGGTATCGAGAGCCTTAATTCCTGGCAAAAATTTCAGTGGGTATGGCAAAGAAGAATTAGAATATGAAAATTGATTTCTCTGCACTATAAAAGCAAATTGAAGAATTATCTGCATTGGTGAAACAAGGCCAAGATGACTCTCATCCACCTTAATGGTGGGAAACTCAGGAAAACCGAATAACTGCACTAGAGTCAAGAATGTCCACTAATCAGGGCTATGTTGAGGAGCTGTTGAAGATCTTAACTGGCAGAAATGGTAAACAAGAGCAGTATGCATGTGATCAGGTACACACTCCTAATAATTCTAAAAATGGGGAGAAAAATCATGTTTTGGTGACTATAGTGAAGGATAAATCAAGATTCACTTATAAAACTGATGAACCTAGGATTTTGAAAGATAAGCTTGATGTTTGTTTAGCCCTTAAGAACAGTTCTAGGCCTGAGAATCAAATGGGTGAAAACATTGACTATAGACCTATTATGTTGGGAATGAAAGCTGAAAGAAGGGGACCAGGGGGTTCATTTAGCAGTTCAGGGAATATGTGGCACATACCTAAAATTGAACTACCTTTTTAAAAAGGGGTTAATCCTAGGGGTGGATTCAGAAATGCCTAAAATACTTTTCTATTTGTGGTGTTCTTGTTGAGCAGAGAGTGGAGGTAGCTACTATGTATTTAACAGGAAATGCAGAAATTTAGTTTGATGGTTATATTATGCAAAAACATCATGTTATATGGCATGAATTTGAAGCTGATCTCTGTCACAGATTCAGCGATAGATCTTTTTCTGATATTGTAGAGGAGTTTACTAAATTGACTCAGAAGGGGTCTGTAGAGGATTATCAGGAGAAGCTTGAGGAGTTACAACCTCATATGCTTTTGCATAATCCTACTTTGACTTAGGAATTTTTTGTGTCACTTTTTATTAGTGGACTCAGAGATGATATTAAGTATAGGGTCAAGGCTTTATATCCTAAGAATTTGTCTGAAGCATGTAAGCAAGCTAAACTCTATGAATTATCTGTGGAGTTTGAGAATAGAAGGTTGAGGCCTTCTTTTAAAACCCACCCTACCTAAACCCCATTATTATTTTTAAATCATCTTCACTATCAGTAAATACAAAACCTACAGCAGTACCAAACCCTAAGCAGAATCTTATTGAATACAGAAGGCATAATAATATTTGTTTTAAATGTGGTGAAAAATACCTCCCAGGTCATTAATGTAAAAACAGACAGTTGAACATGATTACTGAGGAAATTGATACTCCTTCAGTGGAATTATTTCCTACAGACTCAGATTAGTCTCCACAAACAGAAGAAGAAACCCTAGAAATCTCTATTAATGCTATTACTGGCTCTATTGGTCATACTACATTGAGAATCCAGGGTATTATTCAAGGAAAGCCATTGAATATCCTAATTTATAGTGGCAGTACACACAGTTTCTTGACCCCCTAAATGGGCTGATACTGACATTCAAATTACTACCCCTTATCCTTTGGCCATCACTGTGGCTAATGGCCAACAACTATTCAGTACTGCTAGATGCAACAAAGTAGAGTGCCAAATGCAGGGACATACTTTTTTGCATGATTTTAGATTACTTAAACTGGGTGGAAGTGACATGGTTTTAGGAGTGGATTGGATGAAGTTATTCAGTCCAATATTAATGGACTTCAATAACATGACTTTAAGTTTTGACCATGAAGGGAAACAGATTTGTATTCAAGGACAACAGCCCTCAACTGAACTGCAGTAAATTTCAGGGGCTACAATACTTAAAATGAGTGCAGGGGATTCTTATATTATGGGACATATTGTCCTACTGACTATGGTATGACATTCTCCTTTTATTCCTATTGAACTCCAACATGTACTAGACAAATACAGTACAGTTTTTGCTGAACCTGAAGGTCTACCTCCCCAGAGGTCTCATGACCATGCAATTCCACTTAAACCTAATGCCACACCAGTCAATTTAAGGCCTACAGTTTTCCTCACTATCAAAAAGTTGAGGTGGAAAAACAGATAGCTTCTATGCTTTCTTCTTCTGTTATTCAACCTAGCAGGAGCCCCTTTGCCTCTCTCTGCCTTCTTATTAAAAAGAATGATGGTGCATGGAGATTTTGTGTGGATTACAGACAATTAAACAGTCTGACTATCAAAGACAAGTTTCATATTCCTATTGTAGAAGATTTATTGGATAAGCTACATGGGGCAGTTTACTTTTCAAAAATTGATTTGAGGCCAGGCTATTGGCATATTAGAATTAAACCAGAAGACATTTACAAGACTTCCTTTAGAACACATCAAGGCCATTATGAATTTAAGGTAATGCCTTTTGGCCTTACTAATGCTCCTGCTACATTTCAGGCTCTTATGAATAAATTTTTTAATTATTTCCTTAGAAAATTTATTTTAGTTTTCTTTGATGATATATTGGTGTACAGCAGTAGTTTGACAGACCATGTTGAACATTTACAGTTAGTTTTAGAAGTTTTTTAAAAGAACCAATTATTTGTAAAACTCTCCAAGTGTTTTTTGGTCAGACTAAACTGGAGTATCTAGGCCATATTATCTCTGCTGTAGGGGTATCTACAGACCCTAGTAAGGTGGAAACTATGCATACTTGGCCCAAGCCTAAATCCCTTAAATCTCTTCGAGGATTTCTTGGCCTGACAGGATACTACATGAGATTTATAAAAAAAAAAATTATGGCATTATTAGTAGACCATTGACACAGATGTTAAAAAAGGATGGGTTTCAATGGACTTCTGCTGCTTATACTTCTTTTTAAGATCTTAAAAGAGCTATGAGTTCTGCTCCAGTATTAGCATCACTAGATTTTTCTAAGACCTTTTATCTAGAAATAAATGCTAGTTCTGGGGGTATAGGGGTTGTTCTTTCACAATATGGCATACCTATTGCTTATTTGAGTAAAGCTTTAAGTCCTAGACAGTCAGCACTATCTATTTACGAAAGAGAATATATTGTTATTCTCTTGGTTATTTCCAAATGGAGACATTATTTGGAGAGTAAACCATTTGTAATTAAAACTGATCATGAGCCCTTAAAGTTTCTTTTAGAACAGAAAATGACTACCACTATTTAGAAGAAAGGGTTGACAAAACTGTTGGGATTATACTATACTATTCAGTATAGAAAAGGAAAATCAAATGTAGTTGTTGATTTCTTGTCTAGAAGATGGGAGGATCAAGCTTAATATTTGACTATGAGAGTAACAGTTTTGGTGCCTACTTGGGTTCAAGAAATTGAAGAAAGTTATCAGGGTGATTCTCTAGGTCAGACTTGGATTTCAATTATGACTATTAATCCTTCTGTTGACAGCAAATGGAAATATTCTAAGGATGTTCTTAGATATGATGGGAGAGTTAATATTGGGGCTACTAGAAGCCTTAGGGTGAAAATTATTCAAACTTTACATGACTCTGCTCAGGGTGGACATTCTGGGGCACAAGCTACATATTATAGAATCAGGTCAAATTTTTATTGGCCAAATCTAAAACCTACGGTTGCTACTTATGTGAGATGTTGTGAAATTTGCCAGCAATCTAAGGTTAAACATATAGCAAAACCTGGTTTG